TCACCCCAAATATTAATCTGGCGACAAGCAAATATTTGCAGGGCTTTATGTAAACACTTTATTGAATAGCTTCCCGCGAAGCTTTTATTTATTGGCAATCGTTTATCACTTGCGCACATGTGCTGGATTTGTATTCACAAATAATATAATATTGCCGTAATCCAATAGGTATATAATACCTACTTATAAAGGTTTCCTACGAAATGTATACACATAAATGTTACAGTAGGTACTAGTATTTTTTCAGAAAGCGTGTATTGTGTATCGCAGAATGTAGCGTGTTGCGTGTTCGACATATGTCAGGTCACGTTGACGACGTGACCCGACGTGCAATATTATAATAATAATATTTTTATCTATTTTATCTATTGTGACAAGATATGAAGGCTATATATATATATAAGACTATCTTGAAAGTATCTAATCTACCGCTTGCAAAAATAATATGAAAATCAGTTCTGAATATGTGGAAATATCGAGTAACATACATAAACAGTAACATACATATACATATATACTATAAGTCACTTATTTGGTTTTAAACCTACTGTGTTTTAAATTCAACACAAAAAAAATATGTAGCAAATGTCTGTGAGATATTGATAAAATAATAATGATATATAATTATTGTTATTATTAGAATTATATTTATTTCTTTAAAAAATACTATCTATATAAACTAGAAGCACTAGAGCTCTAAGCATCGTACGACCGACATTCCATGTTCATTCATCCACATTAGAGTCAGTGGCGTGAAATTTTCATGTGACTTGGCTTGAGTAGCGTACGCTTCAGGTCGTTGGTCAAATAAAGATCACTGAAACTCATTGATGATGATAACATAACATAACTTTCTTATGTACCTAGTACAATACATCAATACAAATCATCAAAAAATAGGCAAGGAATGGTTCGTTTAAAGCGAAATTTTTTGTTTAGAACTAGAAAAAATTATGTAAAAAGTATTTATGTTGATCTTTTTACTTCACACATACAGCAGAAACAATTGCAAGTAGATTGATCATGATTTTTTAATCAAAGGAAGTGAAACGGGTTTAACAACTGGCAAAAAAAGGTAAAAGCAAATTTTATATAAAGCAATTTAAAGCAAGTAAATTTTTTTAGATAAATTAATTCATCACACTATTTTGTTTATTTATAAAAGAATTATATGTGACTATCTGCATTCTTTGATTTCATCAAGTAATAAGCGTAAGAACCTTATTTTATGTTATAATACTTAATCGGAGAACTAATTAAAATCTAAAACGTATAATTAAATCTTTACTAAATCAGCCTGTTACGAGTGTAATATAAAATGTAGGTAATATTTACTGAAAAAAGAAAGAAAGACAAGCGCAGTTTGAAAGTCTTGATACAATGTTTCTGGCTGTATTCATCATGACAGCGACACTGCCCCCGACATTGAGTAGGCGCCGGCAGACCTACTTATCCGGGGGCTTCAATGTTGTGTTGTTATGTTTACATTTGTATGTCAACCACAGGCTTCTGTTTATGATAACTTTACGTTGGTTAACTGACTACTTTTAATGTTTTATTTCTATGATAAATCTTTTGACTTAATAGTTTACCAAAAATCATTCTCTATTTAATCTCTACACTCTAATAAGAAAAATATATGTATGTATTATATACATCTTGTAGTACTTAACTAGTTTAGTGTAACTGCAGGTAAATATACAAGAGAAAACATATATTTTAACTACTGTAATCCCTGATGTAGCAAATATGGTAATTTGTTCACTTATACTCACAGTAACTTTGTAAAGAACGCAATCCTCTATTGAAGACGCCCTTATTTCGTTAATTATATTAGAATTTAATGCGGAAAATTGTTTAATCTGGAAAAATCGACTAAATAAATATTTTTTACGTTCATATTTCATGTTAATAATGATAGAACTGAAAGATTATAACAACTTCGCAATAAATCAATGATATCCAGCAATTTTAGACACTTAATTTACCTCGATACTTACTTAATTATGGAGTCTGAATACCATCATAAGTCAATAAGTTTCATTTATAATAAAACTATTTTAATTAGAATTGGATTGATTCGTATTTATTTTTATATTTGTCTAATGTCTTAATTATAATTAAATTATAATAGTGAATATAATGTAAATACGGAATATATACCCGAAATAAAGTTTTATTTATTTATTTAAAAAGTTTATTTAAATATCATATTCAAGACGACTTTTTTCAAATGTTTCACTTAAGTTAATTACTACTTATTACTAGAAGTCCGATTTTCTGACCTAAATAAAATAGCAGCATTGTCTGTCAGCGGTGAGGTCTTGAGGGGTTTGAAATTCATTTCAGAATATTGTTCTGGTCCTAAATAAAGCCGCACTGCTCGTGACGTTTGACACTTGAACCGATGACGATGGGACAATATGGCACGAGCTCCGATCCCCACAAATTAGGGTGAACACCCTCGGACAATTACGCAAGTGCTTAATGGTAGGGATTACGTTACGCGTAAGTGAAACTAGAATGCAGCAGGTTTTTCGCAAAATAATAGGGTTGTACAATTAGAAAAATAATAACAAAATCTTTAAAATGAAATTTTTGTATCTGCTTTTTTTATTTTACTCAACTTAGAAAGGAAATAGCTGAATCCCCTTTATGAAAAGTGGTAAACGTTACCTTTAGACATTAATGTCATATAATATAGGCATTATAATATATCATAATATGGGCATAACAGAGTATACTGAATTGTCTATGATATTTCTGGGGACTAACTTGTTCTGTCTCTAACTCTTCAAACCGAAACACAGCCCTGCTTTACGTTAAATATTTATTGCATACAACGGATGTAGACGATAAAACTAGATTGTATCCGTAGATGGGGAAAAAAATCTCAAGTACAGTCAAATGCAGTAAACTGTAAGCCGGCACTAGACGGAATGACGATATCAAATGTATTGCAAAGAGTCAATAGATATGGGTGAATGAAGATAAATTTTTATTTATTCTATAGAGGTGGCTTATATTCAGCTATAGACAGGGTTGAAGTGCTTCCCTGTCAATGGTAATAAAATTATAAATCTTCGTAACTCATTTGTAATTTTATATACAGTTCTAAATAAAATTAAAAATAACGCATACTTACTAATACTATAGAAACAATAGTGAATTTGTATTTTATTATTGTATCAGGTCTAGAATTACTAATTAAATTTTATTTTATTATCCTGATACCAACGACACCCCTATCCGTCAGAAATTCACGCGACTTTGAGGCAAGTTAATCACATCCATAGTGAGGGATTGCGGATATTTGCCGGGTGGATTAACGTTCGCTGGACAATAATAGGCTGGTCCAGGGACATCGCTCTCCGGGGATTACAACTAATTTACACTGCGATGTGAAATTTGATAAGCAAAACGGAATGCAATTGGGAATTAAATTAATAACAAAATTAAAAGACAAAATTTTATACTTAAAGCCATTATTAATTGTGTTAACATTAATTTTTTAATGTAATAAATTACTTTCCATTTTCAAACTGTCATCCATGTGTAATCCTCTATATCCTGTAGTGTATACTAAATTACTGTATTGTAACTGTAGATACATGTGTGTACTCGCATTTGAATTTTTAACTGATCTTTCAATATAATTGCTCAGCTACCCTCAGTCACCACCCTAAACTATTGAAGCGCATCGACTTTCTATACACGAGTCACAACGTCTTCATCGCTCTTTCATGCTGATTACAAACGTCAAAGTTAGGGAAAACACAATAGCAGTGCGCCCTTGTGTATATACCGACGTCGGAACACGATCAATGAGGTATAGCACAAAAAATAAAGTTACAGTTTAGTAAATGACCTATTGCTGGGGGGAAGAATTTGACGTTTAAGAAAAAGTTATTGGAACTATTATACCTAATATTAATAGGATATTACCAATTGTCAAATTTAGAAGTATAATATGGTCACAAAAAAAATAGATATATTGAATTAAATGTCGTTAACTTCACGATCGAATTAGGTAAATAGTATCTATATATCTGATTTTTATTATTTTTGATATATGTTGATACCAATAGTCGCGTCGCGTTAAGTCACGGTTGTGAATTTAAAATATTTGTAAAGAATACGAAAGTTTTAAATTAAATATCGTTAACTTGTACGCCGTATTTAACATATGATAAATTTTGAATTTTTAATCTAATGTTTTTCTATATAGTTAGTGTAAAACTGTCATAAAAATATTGTAGGTATATTACTTTTATATAAATAATAAAATATAACTATCTTCTAATAATGCTTATATGGGAATATCAGGTGGATGGATACTAAATTGTAAAGAGGTGCGCCCCGAATCGTTCTTCACTAATGGAATGCCCTAAGTAGAATTGCACTAGAATGGATTGCACATTCGTAGCCCGTAGCACCAGCCATGTTTACGATCCATTATGGTTGCGATAACCCATTCGTCTACGGGGGAAATTTATTCTTATACTACACACATGTAACTATAGGTCTATAGGTAACCTTAAGTATCGAATACATACAGCTACAATGGGAGGGAAATTGTTGGTAGGAGTTTACGAAACCTTCATACAAGACACTTAAAATTTTATATTATATATATGTACATTCTTATAGAGTATTTGTTTGCTACTTATGCATATAATTTTATTCCCTACCATTATAAATTGACTAGTAGTTTTTTTAATAACACCTGGAATCATCAGAATTCAATAGTTTATTCCAGTTTTCCAAAAATTCTTCTATGTTTTCTAAATGCAAACTTTTACATACATATTTTGTAGTTTTTGGTGATTTATTAGGATTTTATATTTTTGATTGATATTAAAGTTTCGTTTTCATTTATAAAACATACTAGCTTTTACACACAACTCCGTCCGTGTGACGTGATATGTACTAAGGGGTAACAAAAAACAAACAAACAAACTTTCTCATTTATAATATAAGAGTAAGGATAGACAGTATACCTTGTAGGGTGTAGGCGGTCCGCTGTGGCTGCATGCCCGGCGCAACGCTCACGCCGGCACGCGACGTGTTGTGCAGGGACAGCGCGCCCAGCAGGTCTAGCTCGGTGGCTGGAACAAATAAAATTACATACGTACAGCTTCCCTTCATCACTTATAATATATATCTAAATAATATAATGTTACAATCATAGTTGATGTGAGGTAGTTAATAGTAATTTCAATTTAAGTAAGAATAATTTAAATCGGTCTAGAATTGAAAAAAATATTATTATGTCTAGTAGTTAGTCTATAGAGATAAAATCATTGTCACTTTTTCACAAATTATTTATATAGTACATTTAAACTGAAATTTTATAAAAAAATAGTACAGACATGTATATACAGTGATTCACCTGAAGCATGTTCAGATGTAACATGCATTTTTCTCTTTTATTTTATTCGCGGTAAGCAATGAACTGAAGTTTGATATCATGTAAAACTTCAACAGATTACATTATAAATGTCTATGAACCAATTATAAAAGTAACGAAGATACATTAAATACGTCATTCTACTTTCATTTAATTTCACGTAGAAACACAGGCTGGATTTATCAAACGTTAATGGTGAATATATTATCGTCAATTATACGACCGATATCAGACACATTATTGTTTCTGTCTTATGAATATTTACGATCCATAAACTCGTAGTGGCCTACATCCGAACAATCAATATGAGGAGACGAAGGAGGCCGAAAATCTGAGAACAGCTTCGAGTATCGATCCGAGGTATGTAGGCTTCATGAAAAATACAAACCTCAATGCCGATTGTAGCGGCAAGAGAAACCTACTATAATCGTTTACTAAGCATGGAAAAGGGCAATAGTGAAATATAATTTTACTGTTACCACTTTTGGCATGTATGAATAAATAATAATAGATCAAATTAGACTTTGACTGAACTATATTTATCTGTCATTTTAAGTAGTCATTATTTATTGATCAAAGCCAATTTTTTATTTTTTATCAAACTGGATGAAAAATCTTTTGCCACTATTTTTAATTTTTAATTTTTCTACGTTTTACGCAGAAGAAATCGCCATTTAACGTTGTTACAACCTCATCGTATACTCTTTTTAAAAAACATATTAACCTCTGACATTTTTTACTGTCTTAGATTTAAATATATACTCTGTCATGTGAAATTGCATTTTATTAAATTGGCGACGAGGATTTTAAAATGAATCCGGAATTAATGGAAGAATTCCTTAAGGTACAACAAAACCAACAAACACAAATAACTAAAATACTGGAATTACTTACACAAACAGTAATACAAGTAAGTGGAACGTCACAGACCCCTACTACGAGTGCAACAGACTCGAGCATATTGACAACATCGTCAAACACAGTCTTAAAAAATTTTAAATGCGATCAATTCAATCCCGCAACAACGGATATACATAATTTCATAGACTACTTTGAAGTCAAATGTAACATATGGGGTGGAGACACTGACAATGTGAAGAGACAATTACTTTTCACATGCCTTAGCCCTGAAATATTCCATGAAGTTAAGGTAGCGTTCACACCGCATTTTGAAACATCGACATATAACGACATTAAAATTAAATTAATTGACCTTTATGGTACTAGAAAAACAAGGTATAAAGCCCTCACTGATTTTTGGAATGCAACACGTCAACAAAACGAGTCAATGACAAATTATGCAAACAGGCTAAAGGAACTGAGTAAGGATTGCAAATATGACAATTTGCTAGAGAGACAATTACGAGATAGATTTGCAACAGGCCTTAATCATGCAGCGTTAGAGATAGACCTAAAACAAAGATGGCCTGACCTGCTTGAGAAAGATGAGACTGGAAAATTAATAGAAGTCACATTCCAACAACTATTTACTTTCGCTCAATCCAGAGAGATAGCAGAATCTGATAACATTGTTAGAAGAATAAGAGACAATAAACATAAACGTACAAACAATAAAAACAATAAAGTTATAAACAGAAAACTCAAAAAAGACCACTGTTTCAGATGTGGAAATAAACAGAAGCATAGTAATGATGAATGCAAAGCTATAAATCATAATTGCAAAGCATGTGACACAATCGGCCATTTCGAATCATGTTGCATTAAAACAGGACGCGCTTTTATTGACAGCAGGCCGCACACACAAAGCATTAAAAGGACTCAAAACACCACTTCATCTCGCTACCAAGACGCGAATGAATCATCATCATCATCATCGTCAACTACTACAGACGACGAATGTAGTGAACAAGGAGTATATCACCTTAACAAGAACAAAGACTGCAAGAGAATAGACCCCATTATCAATGGCATACCCTGTACAATGGATTGGGATACAGGTTCGAAGTTCTCTATTATAAATACAAAATTTTGGAAACAAATTGGATCACCACAATTAAAACGTTCACCACCTCTGAAAGCATATGGAAATAATGATTTTAAACTTAAACCAAGAGGACTAACAGAAGTATCAGTGGAAATACAGGGAAAACAAAAAATTCTTCCTGTCATTGTCATGAAGACTTCAGACCCTATGCTGTTTGGATTAGACTGGAGTGAAATGTTTGGAATGGAATTTCCGGAAGCTGTATATTCTATTAAAGCAATTAATGAACAACAGACACTACAAAACATCCTAACAAATTACGCAACACTTTTCAACAACAAACTTGGTAAAGTAAAAAACTATCAGGTCAACATTCACATTAAACCGGGAACAGAAGCAAAACATTTTCCACCACGTCCTGTAAAATTCAGTATCAAAAAGAACATTGAACTGGAACTAGATCGATTAGTGCAAGAAGGGATTATCACAAAAGTGGATCCTAACATAACACCCGTAGAATGGTCAACTCCAACAGTTAATGTCGTAAAACCTAATGGTCAAATTCGTATTTGCGGTGATTATCGCGTCACAATCAACCCTGCATTAATAACACACCTACATCCAGTACCACTTTTTGACCAATTAAGACAACAGCTTGCAAACGGTGAAAAATTTTCCAAAATTGACTTAAAGGATGCATATCTTCAATTTGAAATTGCCCCTGAATCAAAAAAGTATCTTACAATAACAACACATAAAGGATATTTCCAATACAATCGAATGCCCTTCGGTATTGCAACAGCACCATCAATTTTTCAACATTATTTAGAAAAACTACTAGACAACATCCCGAATACGGCCGTCTACTTCGATGATATTGCAGTAACAGGAAAAAATGACAGCGAACACCTAAGTACTCTGACGTCAGTACTCAAGAGATTGCTAGAAGCTGGCCTCAAAGTTAACTTAAAAAAATGTAGTTTTCTCCAACCCGAAATTGAATATCTTGGACACATAATTGACGCACGTGGTGTACGCCCAACTAAAACAAAAATTGATGCAATCGCTAAAGCTCCAGCGCCAAACAATACTAAAGAACTACGATCTTTTTTAGGAATGGTCAACTTTTACGAGCGATTCATTCCGCACTTACATACACTTTGTTCAGACTTGCACGACTTAACATCTTCACGAAAAAAATGGAAATGGACGAAAGAATTACAAACCGCATTTGAAAAGGTAAAAACCTGCATAACAAAAACAAGACCTCTGATAGCTTATGATGATAAACGAATGCTTTATCTAGCATGTGATGCTTCCGAAAAAGGACTTGGGGCTGTTCTTTTCCACAAAGAACACAATATTGAACAACCGGTCGCATATGCTTCTAGGAAATTAAAACCTGCAGAAAGTAAATACTCTGTAATAGACCGAGAAGCATTAGCTATCTACTTTGGTATCAAAAAATTTGATCAGTTCTTAAGAGGAGTCCGTTTTACATTAATTACTGATCACAAACCTTTAATCTACCTTTTAGGCCCACAAAGAAATCTGCCTAAACTTGTTAATAACAGATTGGTGAGATGGGCGTTAGCAATTGGGTGTTATAATTATCACATTGAGTATCGAAAGGGAGAACACAATATTCTTGCAGACTTTTTGTCAAGAATGCCAATCCCTGACCAAATACCGTCTGAAGGTGAACTGACTGTACATAAAATAGGCACGCGATTGCAAGCGATAAAAATGATTGATTTAACACTTTCAGAGAAACTGATTAAAGAAGAAACAGGAAAAGATCCCGTCCTAAGGGAAGTATCCAATCATATTAAACTTGGCTGGAAGAATCAATGTAATAGTCACCTAAAACCTTACTATCGAAAACGTGAAGAACTTGCCATCGAGAATAAAATTATAATGTGGGGCGGAAGAATTGTAATTCCACAAGGGATACAAAAAGCTGTATTACACTACCTCCACCGCGGCCATCCAGGCACATCTGCTATGCGAGCTCTGGCTAGATTTTATGTCTGGTGGCCCTCCATAGACGAAGATATAGATAGATATATTAAACTTTGCCATAAATGTCAAGAAAACAGGCCGAATGATCCAGAACTCCCTATTTACTCTTGGTCTATCCCAGAAAAAAATTGGGAAAGAATTCATATTGATTTCGCAGGTCCTTTCGAAGGAAAGTATTGGGTAGTAGTTGTTGATGCTTTATCAAAATGGATTGAAGTACGACCAATGACTAAAACTACTACAGTAAAACTATGTGCTAAACTGGATGGAATATTTACTACTTTCGGTCTACCCAAGATTATTGTATCTGATAATGGTCCACAATTTACGTCGCATGAGTTTGAAAATTATTGCAAGCAGTATGGAATCTTACATATTCGGGTATCACCGTACCATCCTCGCTCCAACGGATTAGCAGAACGCCTTGTTCGCACTTTCAAGACCCGGTTATCAGCCAGTAACGAAGACGGAGCTAACTTGAAACAACGCTTAAGAAATTTCCTGTTCAGTTATCGTAATACACCACATTCTACAACAGGTAAATCTCCAGCACAAATAATGTTTGGCCATCAACTAAATTGTGTATTTGACAATCTACGCCCAGATTTAAGAAAAACACTAAATTTCAAACAACTTCAAACTAACTTACATGGAGATCAGCCTTTAAAAGAATTTAAGAGTGGTGACCCAGTTTATATACGCACGCGAAATGAATCAACTTGGCATCCTGC